CGGGGGCACCGGGGGGATCGGGGGCACCGGGGGCACCGGGGGGATCGGGGGCACGGAGGGCACCGGAGGATGGAGGTGGCACAGGGACATGGGGGGCACTGCGGGCACAGGGGGGCACGGGGGGCATGTCCGGCGTCCCGGGGTGTGCCCAGGGGTGTCCGGTGCCCCGGGGGCTGCCCGGGGGTCTCTGCTGACCAGGGGGGTGCCCGGGGGTGCCCAAGGGTGTCCGGCGACCCAGAGGGTGCCAGCGGGATGCCAGGGGGTGCCAGTGACCCGGGGGATGCCCAGGGGTGCCCGGGGGTCTCTGGTGCCCCGGGGGGTGCCCCGGGGGGTGCCCGGGTGCCCCGGCTGACCCGGTTGTGCCCGGGGTCCCGCAGGTGCCCTCTCCTCCATGCCAGCCGTGCGCACCTTCGCCCTGACGGCCGCGCTGGCCGTGGCGCTGGACCTGGCACTGCAGCTCTCGGCCTTCGTGGCACTGGTGGCACTGGACGGCCGCAGGCAGGAGGTGGCACCGGGGGCACGGCGGGGCGGGGCACGGGGGGGGTGGGAGGGTCCCCAGGGTGGGCACGGGAACCTCAGGGTGGGCACGGAGTGGGTGAGACATCCCCAGGGTGGGTGCGAGGATGCCCAGGGTGGGCACGGGGTGGGTGACATCCCCAGGGTGGGTGCGAGGACCCCGGGGTGGGTGCGAGGATGCCCAGGGTGGGCACGGGGGGGGTGAGACATCCCCAGGATGGGTGTGAGGGTGCCCAGGGTGGGCACGGGGTGGGTGAGAGGACCCCGGGGTGGGCACGGGGTGGGTGAGACATCCCCGGGGTGGGTGTGAGGACCCCGGGGTGGGTGCGAGGATGCCCAGGGTGGGCACGGGGTGGGTGTGAGGGTCCCCAGGGTGGGTGCGAGGACCCCGGGGTGGGTGCGAGGATGCCCAGGGTGGACACGGGGTGGGTGTGAGGACCCCGGGGTGGGTGTGAGGATGCCCAGGGTGGGCACAGGGTGCCCAAGAACCCGCCAGGGTGGGTGAGGGTCCCCAGGCCGTGCCCAGGGTGGGCAGGGGGCACCGGCGGGGCACAGGGGGGTTTGCCGGACCGGAGCCGTGCCCACCCCCCCTCACCCCCGTGCCCCCCTGCCAGGCCGGGCGCTTCGACTTGTGCTGCTGCTGCGGGATGGGCAAGGGGGGCACGGCCGGGGGGGGCACGGGGCTGCTGCGCCCCCTCCTCGAGCGCTACTACACCCCCGTGCTGCTGCACCCCCTGGTGCGGCCCGCCGTGGTGAGGGCACGGGCACCGGGCACCGGGCACCGGGCACCGGGCACCGGGCACCGGGCACGGGGGGCATGGGGGGATTGGGGGATTGGGGCACCGGGGGGCACCGGGGGGTATGGGGGGCAATGGTGGATTGGGGACACGGGGGGAACTGGGGGCATGGGGGGCACGGCGGGCAATGGGGGGCACGGGGGGCACGAGGGGCATTGGGGCACCGGGGGGCACGAGGGGCACTGGGGGACTGGGGGAATTGGGGGGCACTGGGGGGCACCGGGGGCATTGGGGATACCGGGTGGCACGAGGGGCACTGGGGGGAATTGGGGGCATTGGGGGATTGGGGCACTGGAGTTTGGGGTTTCGGGGTTCGGGGTTCGGGATTTTGGGGTCCAGAGGTTTGGGGTTCAGGGGGTTTGGGGTCGGGGTTTTGGGGTTTGGGATTTTGGGGTTTGGGGTTCAGGGGGTTTGGGGTCCGTGGGATTTGGGGTTTTGGGGTTTGGGGTTTTGGGGTTTTGGGGTTTGGGGTTTGGGATTTGGGGTTTGGGTTTTGGGGTTTTGGGGTTTGGGGTTTGGGGATTTTGGGGTTCAGGGGTTTGGGGTTTGGGATTTTGGGGTTTGGGATTTTGGGGTTTGGGGTTTTGGGGTTCGCTCCGAGCACAGCCCCTGCCCAGGTGCTGCTGTTCCTGTTCATGGCCTGCTCCGGCCTCTTCCTGCTCTTCCACGTCTCCGTGGGGCTGGACCAGGAGCTGGCACTGCCCGAGGTGGGCACCGCGCCCGGGCACCGCGGGCACCGCGGGGACAGCGGGGGGACACGGGGGTGTGGCACGGCCCCACATGGGGACACACAGGGATGGTGGGACCCCTCTGAGACCTCCTTGGGACCCATTGGGTGCCCACCATGGTGCTCCTTAGACGACCATGGAATGCCCATTGGATGACCATTGGGCGCCCACTGAATGATGATTGGGTGCCCATTGGGCGCCCATTGGTTGACCACTGGATGACCATTTGGCGCCCATTGATTGACCATTGAATGCCCATTTGGTGCCCATTGGGTGCCCACTGGGTGTCCATTGGGTGGCTGTTGAATGACCATTGGGCGGCCATTGGGTGCCCATTGATTGACCATTGAATGCCCATTCGGTGCCCATTGGGTGCCCATTGGGTGTCCATTGGGTGGCTGTTGAATGACCATTGGGTGGCCATTGGGTGCCCATTGATTGACCATTGAATGCCCATTGGGTGCCCATTGGGTGCCCACTGGATGTCCATTGGGTGGCTGTTGAATGACCATTGGGCGGCCATTGGGTGCCCATTGATTGACCATTGAATGCCCATTGGGTGCCCATTGGGTGCCCATTGAATGACCTTTGGGCGCCCACAGGATGCCCATTGGGTGCCCATTGGGTGTCCATTGATTGACCATTGAATGCCCATTCGGTGCCCATTGGGTGCCCATTGATTGACCATTGAATGCCCATTCGGTGCCCATTGGGTGCCCATTGGGTGTCCATCTGCCTGCCATTGGGTGTTCATTGAGGGCCCATTGGGTGTCTACCGGAACCTCTTTGGGCCGCTCCGGGGCGCCGCGCGGGTGCCACCGCTGATGCCCACTGTGCCCAGGACTCGTACCTGCTCCAGTACTTCTCGGCGCTCAACCAGTACCTGGCCGTGGGCGTGCCCACCTACTTCGTCACCACGGGCGGCTACAACTTCTCCTCGGAGAACGGCACCAACGCCATCTGCTCCAGCGCCGGCTGCGACGCCGACTCGCTGACGCAGACCATCCAGCTGGCCACGCGCTTCCCCAACGCGTGAGTGCCGCCCGCGCCCGCGCCCGCGGCGCCCGGCCCCGCCCGCCCGGTGCCAGCCCCGTGTCCCCCGTGCCAGGTCCTACCTGGCCATCCCGGCCACCTCGTGGGTGGACGATTTCCTGGACTGGCTGAACCCCACGGCGCGCTGCTGCCGCGTGCACCAGAGCGGGGAGCACCAGGGCGACTTCTGCCCCTCCACCAGCAGTGAGTGCGCGGCACGGGCACGGCGCCCGCCGTGGCGGCCGCTGGGTGCCCACCGTGGTGCCCATTGGGTGTACATTGAGTGTCCACCACCGTGGCCATTGGGTGCCCACCATGGCAGCCACTGGGTGCCCACCGTGGTGGTCCTTAGGTGTACACTGAGTGTCCGCCACCGTGGCCATTGGGTGCCCACCGTGGTGACTGTTGGGTGTACATTGAGTGTCTACCACCGTGGCCACTGGGTGCCCACCATGGCAGCCACTGGGTGCCCACTGTGGTGGTCCTTAGGTGTACACTGAGTGTCCACCACCGTGGCCATTGGGTGCCCACCATGGTGGCCACTGGGTGCCCACCATGGTGCCCATTGGGTGTACATTGAGTGTCTACCACCGTGGCCATTGGGTGCCCACTGTGGTGGTCCTTAGGTGTACACTGAGTGTCCACCACCATGGCCATTGGGTGCCCACCGTGGTGCCCACTGGGTGTACATTGAGTGTCCACCACCGTGGCCATTGGGTGCCCACCGTGGCGGCCGCTGGGTGCCCACCGTGGTGCCCATTGGGTGCCCACCGTGGTGGCCACTGGGTGTACATTGAGTGCCCACCATGGTGGCCACTGGGTGCCCACCGTGGTGGTCCTTAGGTGTACACTGAGTGTCCACCACCGTGGCCATTGGGTGCCCACCATGGTGGCCATTAGGTGCCCACCACGATGGTCCTTAGGTGTCCATTGAGTGTCCACCACCGTGGCCATTGGGTGCTCAGCACGGTGACTGTTGGGTGGCCTTTGGGTGTCCATTGGGTGTTAATTGGGTGACCATTGGTTGTCCTTTGAGTGTCCATTGATTGACCATTTGGCATCCATTGGGTGTCCATGGGTGTGATTGTGTCACCATTGGGTGCCCATTGATTGCCCATTGATCGCCCATTGATTGACCATTGGGTGCCCATTGATCGACCATTGGGCACCCATTGGGTGTCCATGGGTGTGCATTGGGTCACCATTGGGTGCCCATTGGGTGCCCACTTGAGTGACCCTTGGATGCCCACTGACCGCCCGTTGGGCATCCATTGATCACCCATTGCTCGCCCACCATGGCGCCCATTGGGTACCAACTGTGACGAGCACCGTGCGCCGTTTGCTGCCCGCTGGCCACCACGTACCCTCTGCGTTCCCGGCGGTGCCCGGGGTGCCCGGCGGTGCCCGGTGGTGCCCGGCGGTGCCCGGCGGTGCCCGGCGGTGCCCGGTGGCCGCGCTGACGCCGTGCGTGCCCGCAGGCGACCCCAGCTGCGCGTTCGGCCAGTGCGTGAAGGCCGTGCGGCGCCCCACGCCCGCCGAGTTCCGGCGATTCCTGCCCTGGTTCCTGCAGGACCGGCCCACCCTGCAGTGCCCCAAGGGGTGAGTGGCACCGGGGTGGCACCGGGGTGGCACCGGGGGGATGCGGCACGGGGGGAAGTGCCACCCGAGCCAGGGGACACAGAGGGGGTGGCACTGTGGAGACATCTCAAGGGTGGCGCTTGTGGGGACACTGAGGAGAAGGTGGCACTCAGGGGGAGCAGCCGAGGGCACGCCCAGGGGTGGGTGGCACCTCTGGGGACACATCGAGGGTGGGTGGCACCTCTGGGGACACTTTATGGAGGTAATGCCACCTCTGGGACACACCCAGGAGCTGGTGGCACCCACAGGGGTGGTGCCACCCAGGGACACGAGCAGCAGCGTGGGCAGTGCCCGGGTGTCCCCAGGGTGTCCCCAGGTGTCCCCAGGGTGTCCCTTGGGTGTCCCCAGGGTGTCCCAGGGTGTCCCTTGGGTGTCCCCAGGGTGTCCCCAGGGTGTCCCTTGGGTGTCCCCAGGGTGTCCCCAGGGTGTCCCCAGGTGTCCCAGGGTGTCCCCAGGTGTCCCTTGGGTGTCCCCCAGGTGTCCCCAGGTGTCCCTTGGGTGTCCCCAGGTATCCCTTGGGTGTCCCTTGGGTGTCCCCAGGGTGTCCCCAGGTGTCCCCAGGTGTCCCTTGGGTGTCCCCGGGTGTCCCCAGGGTGTCCCTTGGGTGTCCCCGGGTGTCCCCTGACCGTGCCCGCTGTGCCCGCAGTGGCCTGGGCGCCTACGACACGGCCGTGAGCATGGACAGCAACGGCACCATCCTGGGTGAGTGCCCCTGAGTGCCCGCTGGCCTGGCAGTGCCCGCTGCCCCTGAGTGACCACTGCCCCTGAGTGCCCTCTGCCCCTGAGTGCCCGCTGCCCTGGCAGTGCCCGCTGCCCCTGAGTGACCACTGCCCTGGCAGTGCCCACTGCCCCTGAGTG